AAATGACGATTTAACGAACTAAAGGGCTTTCGCAGAATTCAATAAACTGAATATATCAAAACAGTGTTACTAAATATACGCTAAAGTACCTAGTTTAATTTCATCATGATGGTTGCATGGTCTTTGGCGGCTACTGTAAGCCCAAGCGGCCTTTGCCCACTTTGTCTCTTCTTATTGGTCCATGCGCAAGTGGTCTATTCGGGCAGCCATCGTGTGGTGTCCTCAGGATCTCATAACCTGGCGGCACTAGTACGCGCGCGTGGCGCCTTGTGCCCGTACACTTTCGCTTGGGGGCGGGGTTCTCTCTCATCCTGCTACCAGGGCGGCAAGAGTTTTGACTCATGTTGTGTGCTGTCCAAACAGTTTAAGTTGCAAATTCAGCCAGAATCGTTTATATTGTGCCATGACATGCAAATAAGACCAAGACACATGCGGTAGATTGCCCACTACATGAACTGTCATGAAATGTATTTCCAAATCGAACAAAGTACTTAAGTAGAGTTGTAGTATTTATTATGGCTTACCCTAATTTCAGGATATGTCAGACACCTCAGAATGTCGGCTTTTGAAGGAACTCCTTTTCGACGGCCTGAATAAAGCATCCTCTGTAAAAATGACGACTTATGTAGTGTGCATTTTGTCACTGATTTTCAAAGCTCTGAAAAGTTTAACTATAGTTTATTAAAAGGTGCACAAAATATACTTTATTATACTCGTTGGGTACCAAAGTAATTTTTCTTTAAATTTTGAAAGTGAAGAAAATAATGTATACTTGGGAGATTTTTTAAAACAACACAATGATTATTCATAATAGACTGTATCTGTCAATTTATTTATGACGTTTATAACATGCACCACATGACTGAAACCAACTACAAAAGTTTATGAGAACCATGTAACTTCTTCCTTATACCGTAGGGATATTTTTGGTTTTTTTCGGTCGGTAGAATGTACCCAGAATGTCGCTTGAAATCCTCGAAAATAAGTATCACGGCCAGTAGTGTTCAAAAATAGATGACAATTTACACAGCTTTTGAAAACCAAAAGACACCATCTCCTCAAGTATAGAATAAGCAAAGAGTTTAATTTGCTACCAAAAAGAACATAATAGATTATCTTTTGTGCATCTCTCTTAAAGATCACATCTGCACTTTTAAAAGCTTTTAAGGTTAATGGGAAATCTGCAAACTACATGCGCAGCCATTTGTTTTTAATATGAAGCTCATTCAGTGGTTGACACCTTGACATAACTGAAGTTAACTGGCATTAAGCCGCAGGATAATCAATATTAAAACCCTGCTTAAGTAATCACTTCGCTCCAAAAAAACACTACAGCACGATATTTCCTTAGGTAAGAAAGATACTATAGCTTCCGGATTTATGGGATGCTCAGCAATTTACTTCAAGCACGGCATAACTCCATCAAGTTAACTATGAATGATGTCGCTTATATACGACAACTGATCTTATCAACAGGCAAAGCT